GAGGTGTCCTTCATCAACATCAAGACCCTCAACGAGTGGGACTCCAGGGTGAGGCGCCGCCCCCCGCACACCTCCATGTCTGTTCCCTTCCGTGTGCGTTGTCATAGCCAGCGGAGTTTTCCCCGCCAAGTTCCTCATGGGGGGCAGGGTTCAGCTGACAGCATTGGGAAGGCTTCTGCTTGCTTTGCACACCCGCACCCCCTTCTTCCAGCACTTTCTTCCTCCACCTTCTGTCTGGCCTCCTCTTACCTTCTGCTCTCTGCACATCTGGTTCTACTCTTTTGTCGTCTGGGCTGGCGGTTTCCCGCAGGCCCAGCAGCTCTCTCTGTCGCCTCCTTACTCCAGCCGTTGCCATCTCTAGCTTTGATCCCTGTATCCAGTTCCTTCGCCGTGAACTCTAAAACCCTAAGACCCAGCTTAGAACCGACTCACAGACATACCTAGAAAGAGACGTGTTCCCCATCCTCCCCCACCCTGTGTCCCTGGTGGCTGGGCCATTGGTAGTTCTCAGACGGCCCAGGCTTGTGCTGCACGGGCTTTCCTTGCCACTCTCCAGACACTTGGATTCAGGACACTTGATTCAGCAGGAAAACACTGGGGCCATCTGTTCTGCACCCTTGGCCCCTCACCTGCAGAAAAGCACCAAGGAAGGTTTGCTGTGGCCTTGGCTGCAGGCCAGCTGCCTTCTCTGTTCTGTTTTGTCACTCAGCTCATTGGTTCGCTGACATCGCCAGGCACAGGGCCCTGTTCACTCATGTTTTACATCTGCCTGCCTCCAGACCTCCCTCTGTAACCACAGCTCCTCCTATGCCTACCAGTGTCCTGCTCCCCTCGCCCAGCACAGATCAGGGAAGGGCTCTTTGGTGCCTCACCAAACCCACACTCCTAGTCAGTTTGGAACTAACTGGCTAATAAAATGAACTTGTATGTTTATTTTTTGCAATGAACCAAGAAGGATTGGAAACCTCCACCATGTGACCTCTGACCAGTTACTTCACCCTGGACCAACCCAGCTGCCCACATCTGTAATTAAGGTGCCCCGAGACCCCACTAGGGTCCTTTTCTGGTATCTACATGTGCCCGCTTTTGTGGAGCCTCAGACTTAGCTCCTCACCCTGCCCGAGGCTGCCCTAGGTGTCCTTCCCACCATGCCTCAGATCAGTATCCACCCCTCCCCTGCAGCCTCTGCCAATGCCTTCGCTCGGTTGACCATCACACCCACATAGCACAAGTGCTTCTGTGGTTTATATGGCACTTGATGCCATCTCCATGTCTTTACTTTTGTGTGTCCATCCCATCTGGATGGCGCCTAGAGAAAAGGATTGTCCCATTGAGTAGCTGCTGTGTAGCAGACTATGCAAGGGGGACCATGTCTCTGTCTCCATGTGCTGACAGTATTAATCCTGATCAGCCGCGTCCTTCCCTGCTCCCTAGTTAGCAGTCAGGGGAGGCCCTGCCTTGCACCTCTAACTGGGCCTTCCTCTTGCAGCACTGCAATGGCGTTGACTGGCGTCAGAAGCTGGACTCTCAGCGTGGGGCTGTCATTGCCACTGAGCTAAAGAATAACAGCTACAAGCTGGCCCGATGGACCTGCTGCGCTCTGCTGGCCGGATCCGAGTACCTCAAGCTTGGGTGAGATTCCCAGCAGGGGGCCAAGGACTGGCCTTCTGAGAGGCTAGAGACAGGCTTATCTTTTCCTTCCTCCCTTGAGGAGAGCAGCAAACAAGGTGTCACCATTTAACTGACATTTGACCGCCAGCACTGCCAGCTCTGTGCCACCCACTCCTGCCACTAACATCCCTTTCCCCACAGTTATGTGTCTCGCTACCACGTGAAGGACTCCTCCCGCCATGTCATCCTGGGCACCCAGCAGTTCAAGCCCAACGAGTTCGCAAGCCAGATCAACCTGAGCGTGGAGAACGCCTGGGGCATCCTGCGCTGTGTCATCGACATCTGCATGAAGCTGGAGGAGGGCAAGTACCTCATCCTCAAGGACCCCAACAAGCAGGTCATCCGAGTCTACAGTCTGCCTGATGGCACCTTCAGCTCCGATGAGGACGACGAGGACGAGGAAGAGGAGGAAGAGGAAGAAGAAGGTGTGTGGCAAGCCTCTCTGAAGTCTCAGGGATCTGGGGGCTGGCAAGGGAACGAACCCTGGAGCCACTGGCACAGTCACCCTTGATAAAAACCTTTTGAGAGTCCCTGGGACGTTAGCACCCTCTCCGGCTCCCAGAGCTTCCTCCAGAGCCTTCAGAAACATAAGGCACTGAGGGGAGCCAGGTCCTTGGAGGAGCTGCTAGGGTTGGGGGAGCTAGGCTGTGGAGGTCCCTGACTATAGCTGGTGCTCTGGACAGGAAAGGTGGGCTCTGGCAGCTACATAGGATGGAATCCCTCTCAGGCCTCAATGGCCAGTGACTGAAGAATAGCCCAGCCCCACGAGGTTCCCAAAAGCCAACTTGGGAGTAGAGGCACTGGACCTCAGAAGCAGCTCACCAGTTCACAGAGGAGAGTGCACATCACATCACACAGCGTGGCTCATTTCTTTTTTAACATTTTGTGTCTTTCAGAGGAAGAAACTTAACCAGATGGTGGTGTGGCACTGGAGTTTGATTCTGCTGAGCCTAGGAGGGCCTTTGGTGCCTGTCTGTCTGACTCCTGCCCTCTGCCCTGCGACAGATGGAATAAAGTATAAGTCTTCTTGGTCTCTTTCCCTCATCGTTTGCCTCTTCCTCCTCCCAGCAGCCCTTGGGTTAGGGAGTGAGGCCTAGCTGCTTCTGTCTGGCCTTCATTCTTGAGCATTGCTAGAGGCACTCCTGGTACAGATGAATTTCCCAGAGTGTCCTTTTGGAATCCCTCGAAATAATCCTTTCGTAGGCAGTGTTAATTGCGAGGTAAGTGATGGGGGTCCCTGCAAGGAGTCCACCGGCACAGCCCTCGGGCCTGCTGGCGTGTGCAAGACCAGGCTGTTGCCTTAGAAGGCCAGATGTCTCTGGGTCACCACCAAGGCAGGATCACTGCTCTTGAGAATGCCACCTTGGAAGATGTTGATGGATGTTCCATGGAGTGGTGATTGTGTTGGTTTCGTAAATTGTTTTCAAGCTTGGCTTGGGCAGGTGACAAAATCTGAAGCCAAAGCCCACAAAAGCTCTGGTTGTTTTGGCTGAGTCAACTTTTCTGGGTGGATGCTGTTCTGTTCTGGACACTGAAGTGATTACCCTGCTGGATAACCAAGCATTCTATAAGTACCTGGCCACCCCTGCTTTCAGAATTTAATGCTAATGGAAATAACAGCATCTTACAAGTGAAATAGATTCAGCTTTGTAGTAGAATTCCCAAAGTTAGAATTTTAATCAAAATAATTGTGCCTCAGGAAGCACAAATATATGTATATATTTTTGTGTGTGCTTTTCTGAGAGTTGAACCCAGATTTTCAAGCATGTCAGGTGCTCTACACTGAGCCATGGCCCTAGCCCTTGCAAGGAAAAATTTACTGGGGCAACATTTACTTTGTCATTAGGGATACTGGAGAGAGAAAGCAAAAAGTTTGTGTGGAGTTTTCATGGTAGTTTTAAAATACATAAGGTGGTTGGGCTGGGGTTGTGGCTCAGTGGTAGAGCACTTCTCTAGCACACATGAGGCACTGAGTTGGATCCCAGCACCACATAAAAATAAACAAAGGTATAAAAAAGTACATATATATATATATATATATATATATATATATATATATATGATGGTATGACAGGTCCCATAAAGTTTCAAGCTTAAAATTCAAACATGTGGCCCAGTCTCAGGATTAACTGGGGCTGGCAGTAGCCAAGGCTCATTCTCTAAGTACTTTGCATCAAATTCCATTACGTCTGTGTCCTGCACCAGGCTGCCAAGTCCAGTGCTAAAAGTGGTCCTGCACTCAAAACCTAGTAGATCCTGTCTGCAATGCAGGCTCTACCCAGCTTTAGGGCCCTGAATACATCATCCTTACCTCCCACTACTTAGCAAATAGGATCCTTAGATTTTTTCACTATTCTCCTAGCACCCACTCCAGTGCTTTTTCAAGTGCTTATCATGGGATCACTAAGTGACTACAAAAAAGCTTATGTTCTCATGGAGCTTTTCCTTGGTGGTACAGGGTGTGAAGAAAATAGACATGTGGCATTCTTTAGTGGGTACTTTGGCTCGAGAGACCAGGGAAGTGTTTTCCTAGAGGCCCAGCTATGATTTTTAATGAAAAGCAGCTCCAGTCATGCAGCGCTCAAGACCAGAAAGTTCTTTCCACACTGTCTTTCCGGAAGAACCCTCAGTTTCATTTCACTGGAGTACACAATACCCTTAGAAGGTTCTCATCCTTCCCTCAGAGGTACACCATATTCTGCCCACATCCTGGAAGCCACCTGCCACAGGAGAAGCACCTCTCCTGTCATTGATGTTTCCCCTCTGGGCTTCAATTCCAGGATGTACTTCCAAACTGTGATCTTATGCAAACCAACCACTAAACCTACATTTGGAAACTGCCCCTTGCTCCTGTCCTGATTGAAGATCAAGTTAGTCCGGTGGCCTGTTGCTCTGTAGACACTACTGAATCACCGCAGCAAAAACTAATTGTTCTATCTGTCCCACAAAACTGAGGAGGCCAATTAGGTTGTATTTAGCCTTGGGCTTCACTGGGAATTTAAAAACATGGGTTTTCTCCAAAACTCAAATCTCGCCAGCTCCAGACCCCCTCTGCTAGCACCGGCAGCACGTGCGCCGCTCCCGCGCCCCAGCCTGGGGCTGCTGCAGGCCAGCGGGTCCCGGCGAGCTGTGCGCCGAGCACGTGACCCCGCCCCCTGCCATTGGCCGGGAGGGAGGGGAGGGGCGGGGCCGCGGCGGGCGCGAGGCTACCCGCCTCACTCGACTGCGGCCTGCGGTCCCGGCGGCCGCGAGGTTCGATCTCCGCTGGGGCGGCGGCCGGCGGCGCGGGGCCGGGACGCAGCCTGTGCACGCGCACGCGCAGGCAGCAGCCACCCGGGCGCGCGCGGCGGGCGAGGCGCGCTGGACATCCTTGTCTCTGCCCAGGAGGGCGGGGGCGGGGCCTGCACGCCACACCTCCTCAGTCTCCAGCCCGGGGGCAGGGACGTGGCTGAGAGATTGTGCGGGCGGAGGGTACCGCGGGCCTGGGGCGCCCGTCGAATGAGCGGGAAATCGGGGAACACCCTCTGCTTCCCCAGGGTGTCCAATACGAAAGGGGATGGCACCTGCGGGAAAGGAGATGGGAGATGAGACGGAAGGGTCCGGGACTCCTGCGAGCCCCAGAGCCCTCATGGAACAGACCGCGTGGGGGCAAGTGAGCTCCAAGGTCCTGGGGTTCCGGTCCCGGCTGCGCCTCACGTTGCGGTGAGGGCGCACGCAAGCCCTTGCTTCTCCCTGGGCATCTGATCCCCATTCCTCGGAAAGACAAGGCTAGCACCTGCCGGCACCCGCGAGGTGCGAGGCCTCCCCTCTGGTCTGCCGCAGGATGCACCTCTCCGCCGCGGCCCGGCTCTGGGGACCCCCGGGGCTGCTCCTGACGCTCGTCCTGCACCCGACTCTGTGCGTGAGCTCCCACCGGGACTACTGCGTGCTGGGCGCGGGGCCCGCGGGCCTGCAGATGGCCTCCTTCCTGCAGCGGGCCGGCAGAGACTATGTGGTCTTCGAACGTGCGTCGGCCCCGGGCAGCTTCTTCACTCGCTACCCGCGGCACCGCAAGCTCATCAGCATCAACAAGCGCTACACAGGAAAGGCCAACGCCGAGTTCAACCTCCGCCACGACTGGAACTCCCTACTCAGCCACGATCCCCGGCTCCTCTTCAGACACTACTCCCGCGCCTACTTCCCTGACGCCGGCGACATGGTGCGCTACCTGGGCGACTTCGCAGACAGGCTGGGGCTCCACGTGCTGTACAACACCACCATCACCCACGTCACTCTAGACAAGGACCAGCGAGCCTGGAACGGCCACTACTTCATCCTGATTGACCAGAAGGGCCATACATACCAATGCAGGTAAGGGACCTGCGCCGGAGCTGGCCAGCTGCAGCTGAGGTCTTTCCCAGAGGGACACTTTGGTTACCTGGAGATGTGGGAGAAATGGGAGAAGCAGGGCATTTCTCCCACTCCTGGATCCAACTGAGGTTCTGCTTAGGCACCGTTTCTCAAGTGTGTCCTTTAAAAGTTGTGGCAAATTTCTTTCCTCTGGATTTGCCAGTCTTTGCTACTTTCATATTCACTGTGATGCTGGTGTTAAGCAGAAACAGTTTATGTGTCCCCAAAATCTATCTTAAAGAGCATTTCCTAGAACTAGTGTCCCCAGAATGCATGATGGGAAATACTGGGTCAAGTGTCCAGCCAGGGTCGGCCCAGTGGGATTTCAGAACCAAAGAGAAGTGAGAGGCCCAACAGGAAGTGCTTCCAGTGACCATTTTTAGCTTGTTTTGGCTTGAGAGTCAACTTAATATTGCCTGGGCCCCCAAAATTTGTTTAATCTTCACAAGGAACTGAGGGGGGAAGTTCACTGATCCCATTTGACAGGTGAATACCTGGGGCTCAGAGAAGTTGGGTAATTAATGCTGTGTCACACCGCTTGTATGTGGTAGAACTGCGATTTGAGCTCATATTTTTCTGACTCCAAATCCTGTGTTCCATCCGCTGCATTAGACTGCTTCTCCTTTCCTGGCCATTAGCCTTGAACTTGGCCCCAGGCAGGTGCTCAGCAGTGTTCACCTGCTCTGTTATGTAGGCCCAGCATTGCTTCTTGCCTCTCACAGCCCAGGGGCAGAAGACTGTGCTGATCTAGACTCTCACACTTCAGGCAGCTGTGCTGCAGCAGAAGGGAGTCAGTTACGAGCAGAGTGGATAAGGATCAGAAAAAAGGACCAATAGGGCTCTGTGTGCTCCTTCCACAGGCCATCCAGTTCTATTTTGAAACCACCCTGTGATCAAAGCATTCTGCAGGCCAGCAGGATCCGACTCCCAAACTGACCACTGCTGGATCCTACGCCCTTCTCCTCTCCAAAGAGCAGGACTTTGGAATCACACCCATCTGAGCACAAAGTGCTCTGCTGCTCTTAGGAACTCACAGGAGCTGCATCTCCTCACCTGGAGAGAGACCACTCAGCTCACTCCAGGCTGCTTTGAGGAGTAAACACACGCACCAGTATAGGGCCCACCACCCAAGTATTGCTTAGCAGACATTCATACCTAGGAGGCAGGTCAGGAGGGGAAACAGAATTCAGGCTCCATTTGCATCACCGGGGGAGGTGCTTCACCTGATGGCTGTGATCAACGTTAGGTTGATTTTTCAGTTGTCTCACAGTATCACTTTCTCCTCAATCAGAAAGCATAATTAAGCCTGTCGAGATGGCCCACACCTATAATGCCAGCAGCTCGGGAGGCTGAGGCAGGAAGATTGTGAGTTCAAAGCCTGCCTCAGCAACTTAGCAAGGCCCTAAGCAACTCAGAGAGACCCTGACTCTAAAAAAAATATATAAAAAAGGGTTGGGGATGTGGCTCAGTGGTTAAATGCCCCTGGGTTCAATCCCTGGTCCCAAAAACGAAAGAAAGCATAATTAATCCCCAGGATCAGTGTGATAGATGGAGCACACTGTGCAGGCATGTGTACCCCCTGGGCTGTGAGGTCTTCGAGAGGAAGGTCTTGCAGTATGGGCTGGGTCAGCAAGTGGCCGAGTGATGAGTGAGTGAGTGAATGAACGTCTGTCACCTGTTAGGAGCCTGCAGTCGGGGTGAAGCAGGTGGTTTTAACCAAGTAATCTTATCGCTGAGAGACTGCACTATCTTTCCTGTGTCCTTACCTGCAGTGTCCTCCTTGTGGCCACTGGTGTGTCAGTCCCCAACCAGGTTGACTTCCCTGGCTCTGAATACGTGGAGGGTTATGAGTCTGTGTCCGTGGATCCTGGGGACTTTGTTGGTCAGAATGTGCTGATACTGGGCCGCGGGAACTCGGCCTTTGAGACGGCAGAGAACATCTTGGGTGTCACGAACTTCATCCACATGCTGAGCCGCTCCCGGGTGCGGCTGTCCTGGGCCACCCACTACGTTGGAGACCTCAGGTATGCTGCATCCTTGTACTGAAAGCCTGTAGCAGTCCAGGATCTGTGTCACTGTAACAAAATACCTGGGGCTGGTCCACTTACAAAGAAAAGAGTTTTAGGGCTGGGGATGTGGCTCAAGTGGTAGCGCGCTTGCCTGGCGTGCATGAGGCCCTGGGTTTGATTTCAGCACCACTTAAAAATAAAGATATCGTGTCCACCTAAAACCTAAAAAATAAAATATTTTTTAAAAAAAGAAATGAGTTTTATTTAGTTCATACTTTCAAAGTGGGAAGTCCAAATGGCCTGGTATTGGCTCTGTCAAGGTCTCCCCTGCCTGTGTCACCTCACGGCAGATGTCATCAGGATCACAGGAACACAGGAGGGAGCGGTCACGTGGTGAGACGGGAAGACAGATGAGGGAAAGGGTCAGGTTTGCTAAAACTGTCTCACTAGACAGTGGCCTTCTCTAGGCTCCACCTCTGAAGGTCCCCCACCCTCCCAACATCACCACGCTGTGGGACCAAGCTCCCAACACTAGTCCTTGAGGACACGCCACTGCCCAACCCTCGCAAGCCCCAAATGTGGGAAGAACCGCCTCTCACACCCCTCCTGGCCCCGCCGGACTCACCAGCCCTCCTGAGTCCCCTCCTGTCCCCTTGCATTCTCTTGGGGCCCCAGAGCTATCAACAATGGCCTGCTGGACACCTATCAGCTGAAGTCCCTGGACGGACTTCTCGAGTCGGACCTGACAGATCTGGCCATCGTGAAGGACCACGAGGGCAGGTTCCACATCACCCTGAAGTTCTTCCTGGAGGAAACCAGCGCCAACCAGAGTGCTGATGCCATCCCCCTCCCCCAGGACGACAACGACAACTTCGCCATGCGCGTGGCCTACGACCGGGTCATCCGCTGCCTGGGCTGGAGATTCGACTTCTCCATCTTCAACCAGTGAGTCCCACGGGGAAAGAGGCGGAAGCACCTTCTGACCTCCTGGGGACACAGAGGCCACACAGTGGGCCATTGAGAGAGTTTTCAGAATGTCCCTGAAAGATCTGAGGTAGGTTCCCCTGGTTTCCCTTTCAGGACAGTGATTCTCTGTCCACTGCAGCTCCCAGATGGTCCTGAGACCCTCCATCAGGGGTCCTCCCCTGAGTGGTCAAGTGGGCGGTCAGGCCCAGACAGGGGTGAGCTTCTCCAGGGCCATGAGCACAGGCCAGGTCAACCTGGCATCTATGCTGGTCAAATCTGGGTGCCCTCGGAAGGTCACTTGATCACAGTTTGCCTCAGTTCTTTATCTCTGCCCTGGGGATACTCGTTTCCTTCTTATATGGTCATGTGAGGATTAATATAAGACAGTGCTTGGCATATGCTATATGCTCAGTAAAATGTCAGTTCCTGTCTGGCATGATGGCACACGCCTGTAATCCTGATGGCTCAGGAGGCTGAGGCAGGAGGATCTCAATTTCAAAGCCAGCCTCAGCAATTTAGGGAGACCCCGTCCCAGAATAACAAAAAAGACTATGGATGTGGTTCAGCGGTTAAATACCCCTGGGTTCAATCCCTGGTACCAAAAAAAAGTTAATCTCTGAGCTGGGTGCAGTGGTGCACACCTGTAATCCCAGTGGCTTGGGAGGCTGAGGCAGCAGGATCACAAGTTCAAGGCCCTAAGCAACTCAGTGAGACCCTGTCTCAAAATATAAAAAAGGGCTGGGGATGTAGCTTTGTGGTTCAGTGTCCCTGAGTTGAATCCTTGGCACAAAAAAATAAAAAGTTCCTTAAGTTATTCATAATGGATTTTGAAGGACTGCCCAGTGGAGCCTGGCCTGTAGAGGTTGCTACTCGGACACGTGTGAGGGTTGGCCCAGAGCATCCGCTCACTCTCTCTTGCCTTCTGGCCAGGGCACAGGAGGACAAGGGCCTGCCCAGACCCTCCTTTCCCCTCAGGTGACAGCAGCCCTCAGGTTTGGCCCAGAGCCTAGCCTTGGGCCAAGCTTGGATTGGGCTCTGTCCCTGACCTGCGTGTCCTTGATCTAAGCCCAGGTGCTTCATCTATGAGATGAAGACTTCGTCCCCACCTCCAGTGGGATGGGTGGAAAGGGCTTCCTCCACCGAGGACTGTGACTGACCCCTTTCCACTCCCAGGTCCCTCAGACTCAGCTCCGGGAGCGAGTTCAGCAAGAAGTACCCGCTGATCAGAGCCAGCTATGAATCCAAAGGCAGTCGCGGCCTCTTCATCCTGGGCACCGCCAGCCACTCGGTGGACTACCGCAAATCAGCTGGGGGCTTCATCCACGGATTCCGGTACACAGGTGAGTCCAGTGAGAGGGCCACTGTCCCCAGGCAGGACCCGTCATTATCCCTGGGGCTTATGAATACTCCAGACCTCCAGAAGCGTTAAGGGACTGTTCACCAGCAGTCAGTGGTCATGACTTCCTGTTAGGCAGCTGACCCCAGGTTTTCACGGCCTGAGGGTCTGCCTAGAAAAGTAGCAACAGATACAGCATAAAGGTGGGTGGCTCTGGGGTGGCCTGTGTTGTGCTTAAAGCCTGAGGGGTTAACAGAGTCTAACTTAAGTCAGCACAGTGGACACGCCTGTAATCCCAGTGACTCAGGAGGCTGAGGCAGGAGAATCATAAGTTCAAGGCCAACCTGTCAACTCAAGAAAGACCCTGTCTGAAAGTAAAGTAAAAATGGGGGGGAGGTAGCTCAGTGGTAGAGTCCAATCTCCAGGGCCACAAAGCATGCTAACCTGGATGGGTGGTCTTAGAGGTGACCTTACCCTGGCTGAGCACATCCCTATCATCAGAGGTGAAAAGGAGGTGACTTCTACCCGCTCAGGGCTGTCCTAAGGCTGAATAAGGTGATTCCTGGGCACCCATCAGCCAGCTGGGTAGCTCTCTCAGGCACAGGCTGCCTGCTGATAGATTGAAAGAAAAGTTGCAATCAGATTAAATACTTGTGATTCACAACTCTCAGTACTGCTAACTTGAGAGTGCACATCAAATACTAAAACATAATTTTGAAAAATAATTTGACTTATTGTACAAGAATAATGCCCAACCCAAAATTGATGCCTTGTGGTTTTAAGGATAAATGGGAACTAGACGGTGAGAGAGAGAAAGAGAAGGGGACTTCCCCTCCCTCTGCCCTCTTTTTTTTTTCCTGTGCTGGCGATTAAACCCAGGGCCCTTGGCTCTACTTGGGGCTACACCCCAGTCCTTTTTATTTTAAGACAGCGCCTCCCTAAGTTGCTGAGGCTGGCCTTGAACTTGCAATCCTCCTGCCTCAGCCTCCTGTAGTCTCTGGGGTTACAGGAATGAGCCACTAGCCAAATCCTCATTTTTCTCAAGAAAGATCTGAGGGTCAGAGTTTTGATGACTTTCTCACTGTATCTGGGGCCTGTTGTTAATGGAACTCCAGTTGCTGCATCCCCCGATTAAGATAGGTATTACTATGAAAACGATTATCACGAAGACCCAAACAGTAATGATGATATTATAACTTACGTTATAATTAGAGGCCCTGGGTTTTCATAGCTTGGCTTGAATTAAAAGGTATAGGGTGCTCCTTGCTCCTCTGATGAAGCACCAAAGAGTAGGTATAATGTGCGGGATCGCTGTGATTTCTTGAGAATAACTGACGTTGGATAAATGTGAATCTAAAAGTTGGATCCTCTTTTTAGCAGATCCCAAGTCAAATATTCATGTTGAATTGCAAATTCAAGAGAGCAGTTTCAGTTCTGCTCGGGCTTCTCCCGCCTTCTTTACCCCTTAACAGAGAAAGAAGTAGATCAAAGCCAGTTGACTGGGATATTTAACTGCTAACTAAGTTTTCCTGGGGTTTGATCCCACCAATTTAGTAAATTTTTAGCTTAAAGTGTTTGATTTGCATTCAGTGGATGTAAGATTCAGTCCAGAGTTCAGAGCAGAAGCAGCATGCTGGGCCCAGGGAAGATCAAGCCTCTTAGGTCTGGGGTGTCTCAGTGGTAGAGCACCTGCCCGCACTGGCAAGGCACTGGGCTCCATCCTAAGCACTGCTTATGAATAAAAGTCCATCAACAAAATATATATATATATATATTTAGGTGATGGAAGGAAAATGTTTCCAGCGGATGTGGCTCAGGGCCCCGGCTTAGTGTGTGGGAGTGTCTGGTGGGAGCCAGGCCACTGACATAGGCCAGGCACACGGGAGCCTTTCCACAACCGCAGAATTTATTGAATAAAATGAATCCACAAGGCCAGGTGTGGTGGCGCACGCCTGTAATCCCAGCTGCTGGGGAGGCTGAGGCAGGAGGATTGTGAGTTCAAAGCCAGCCTCGGCAAGTTAGTGAGGCCCTGTATCAAAATAAAATATAAAAAAAGGGCTGGGGATGTTGCTCAGTGGTTAAGAACCCCTGGGTTCAGTAATCCCTGGTACCAAAATAAATAAATAAATTCACAAGTCGAATCACTTTGTTGGCTTTAATTCTCATGTCCCTTTGGTAATCGGGGTCTTTTCTTCCTTTCCACTCTCGATTACTAATATGAAGTCACACTTAACAAGAGAGTAATAGGTTCCAGAATGGCTGAGAAAGGTTAAGGTGGCCACAGGGATTCAAGAGCCTTGCCCAGGGCAAAGGCAGAGAGCAGATACAAGTGAAGATTAGATCACAGCCAGAGGCCTTGCTCAGGCACAGAGCTGTGGAGGGTGAGGGCTGGGTGCAGGGTGAGGGGCTGGGTGGCAGCAGGGCAGGGTGGTGTCTAAGCAGCCTCATCAGACAGACGGGGCTGGGGCTTCACCAGAGGTCTGGTAAGAGGATGTCTCTGGTGCCTCTCCTGTTACCCTCCAGGTGAGGGTGACACCATTCAGAGGTCTGTTTGATAAGCTCCTGGGCCTGGTTTCACAGTCGTGAGCTTAATACCTCATGTGCCCATGTGTCTCTGATTTAATCCAATGAATTCACAGGCGTCACTCTGGTTTGTTTTGTTTGTTTGTTTGTTTGTTTGGTGCTGGGGATTGAATCCTAGGCCTTGGACATGAGTGGCAAGCACTCTACCAACTGAGCCATAGCCCTAGCCCTCAGGTGTCACTTATTAGCACAGTTGATTCACTTACCGGTTTGTGCCTTCTGATTGTGCTGGGCAGCCGTTTGGTAAGTTCAGCATGTCCAGTATCTGGTGGTTATCTACCCATTTGCCCAGACGTGCTACGGAGTCCCCCTGCCTTAGCCCTGAACTGATGTTCTGCACCACTCCGACGAACTCGGCCCGGGCAGTCTGTCCTCCACAACTAGGCCCTGGGTTCAATTCCTAGCACCGCAAAAAAAAAAAAAAAGTGTGTGTGTGGGGGGGGGGAGTTGTTTCATATTTTCCAGTGGAAATCTTGTTTTAATATCATTGATTGTTGGAAATATTATTAGGGTTGTGCAATAAGTTAATCATATGCAAAAATAGAAATTTAGTAATGCCTGCACAGCTGTGAATGTTTTTGTTTTGTTTTGTTTTGTTTTTGCTTTCCACCAATACTGGGGATTGAACCCAGGAGGCTCTACCCCTGAGCTACATCCCAGTCCTTTGTATTTTGAGAAGCTGATAAGCTGCCCAGGCTGACCTCAAACATGGAATCCTCCTGCCTCAACCTCCCCAGTAGCGAAGATCATAGGCAAGCACCACCGTGCCAGGCTGGCTGTGGATGTTGGTATAATAATGCTGTAATTTTTTGAGTTTTTTTTCCCCCAGTCCTGGGGATTGAACCAGGGGTGCTTAACCACTGAGCCACATCCCAGCCCTTTTTATATTTATATTTAGAGACAGGGTCTTTTTGAGCTGCTCAGCACCTCAAAACAACCTCGCTGTTGCTGTGGCTGGCTTTGAACTTGCGATCCTCCTGCCTCAGCCTCCCAAGCTTCTGGGATTACAGGTGTGTGCCACCTCACTGGGCTGTTAATTCTTGAATAATGATATATTTAGTTAAAAATCCTATGAGGGAAGCTAAATCTCTTAGGGATAATAAGGGGTAAGAACTATAGGAATTATAGTGGTACTCCGTTTCATGGTATGATAAGGATGACGTTATGGTACCTCTGACTAAGAGTTATATTATGAATACCATAGTTGTCAATATGAAATAAGTCAGCATTTTCTGAAGAATCAACCGAGGAGGGGGGACTTCATGCCTCCTCCTCCAGGTTAGAGTGGGTGGGCTCCGCTGTCGTCACCAGCTGTGGCTTGAGAATGAGTCCCTGCTCCTTGGGGCCATCAACCCCTGAATCCATGGCTGCCTCTGGAACTGGAGGGTCCAGGGGAGGCCCCACCCACAGCCTCGCGCCCCACAGACAGTGGCACTGGCAGCTCCTCGGGCTGCTGAGCGTTTGCTCTGCCGCCTGCAGCTGCTGCCTAAACCAGTTAATTTGCCATTAAAATCCCTAAGGGTCCCATTGCTGCCCCACTTGACCTTGACGGTGGTCTGGCATCCTGCTGCCCTTCCCACCTGGCAGGGAGAGGTCATCGTGCCTTGCAGTCCATTCCCAGATGATGTGTCGCCAGGAAGGAGCTGGAGGGCTCCGGCTGTCTGAACACCATCCCGGCTGCCAGGCCTCACCATCCCACATGCGCTGCCACCCATTCCCGCCGTCCTGGCCACCACTGCCCAGCCCTCTTGCTTCCTCTGTCCCCATTTTTCCATGCACTTCATCCTCAGCCGCATGAAACAGATCCTGTTAGTTCAACTCCATTTTCCGGATGAGAAAACTGGCACACAGAGAAGTCAAGTAACCTGCCCTTAGCCACCCAGCCAGGGGATGGCAGAGTGGGCTTCACATCCATACCCGCTGACTCTAAAGCCACACCTAGGCAGTAAGCTTCAGGCAGGTGGGAAGCAGTCCTGGGTGCACAGGCAACTGACCACTGTCCCCAAGCAGCTGACAGCTCTCCCGGGGGTGGGACAGTGGTAACCCCGTGGGATCGGTCCAGACCTTGCCATCATTCCGCTGAGAAACTGTCCCAAGGGAAGCAAAAGACAGCAAGGCAGCAGGACGTGATGGACGACAGAGACACCAGACGGATGCTGGGTGGGACTCCACAGCCATCCGCTCCCTCCTGAGCGCTGTCCAGGCCGTCCCCGCGGCCTCGCTGGCCCGCCCTCCAGGGCTGTGGTGCCCGCGGGAACTGCCTTTCGCTAAGCACAGACCTCGGCCTCCTGGGCTCACAGTTCCTGGGCTCCCTTCCCTCTGGACACTTCTGGAGCCTCTGCAGGGCTGGTGCCCACGGTGTCATGGTGTCCCCCACCCCTTCCCACGCGGCCACTGCTGGCACTGCACCTGGCACTACTACGGGCTTCGCCTCCCCAGGCCTCGGGCCGCAGCCTCCACCCCCCCCCCAGCTCTGGCTGCTCCCCTCTCCACCCTCAGCTCAGCCACTGCGCCTCAGGAGCCAGGTCCTGGAGCCGGACTCCTCCCGGCTCGTGGCCACCCGGCTCCTCCACGCAAGCCCTGTTGGTGCCTGGCCTTCACTCTCTGGGGCATTTGCTGGTCAGCTGTGGGGGAGCAGGTGTCTGTGTGCAGTGCTCCTCCCAGGACACTCGGCCAGCAGCCCCAGGGAAAGGAAGCCCCTCCCTGTCACTTAGCTACCAGCTGCTCCTGCACCCTGTGTAGAGATAAGAGCGCCTCAAAATAGCGCTAGAGGCAGGGGTGCGGGAGAGGCGCCATCCAGGCTTTCCAGGTGGGCGGCTCTGGTGGGAACGGGCTGGAGGGCAGCGAGGCTCTGGGTCTGGGTTGGGCTCCTCAAGTGAGGTGACAGTGCAGGGACTTCCACTGCGAGGGCCTCAGGCAGAGGTGGACAGACCCAGGCTTGTAGCCCCCACCTGGCCTCACCCATTCTTCTGCCTGCTCACCCCAGGGGATGCCCCTGAGTGGCGTCCCTGTCCGTCCCCATGTGTGCATGGCCACAAGCAGAGAACAATTACTGTTTGGAACTTGACCCAAACCTTTGCTGCCCCCACTCCGCCCGAAGGCCTGCACCTCCCGCAGAATGAACACAGATACGATCTGCAGTGTCACAGGCTCTTCCTCCCTCTGGCCCTTTCAGTGCGAGCCGTCCACCGGCTGCTGGAGCATCGGCACCATGGCGTGGCCTGGCCCTCCACCGAGCTGCCCATCACACAGCTCACCAACGCCATCATCCGGCGCGTGAACGAGGCCTCGGGGCTCTACCAGATGTTCAGTGTGCTGGCTGATGTCATCCTGCTCAAGGAGTGAGTAGCTCGCCTGCCCCCCCCCAAGGCTTCACCCACGCACCCTGCAGCACACTGCCGCCCAGTCTGTCTGTGGGGGAGCCCAGCTCTTCCCTCTTAAAATGAGTCGGGGTGGGGTGGGGCGGGGAAGTGGAGTCAGACAGTTGGTCCTGGGCGTGAACTCTGGGTTTATCCTTTTGCTGTGTGACTTCAGGCAAGTTAGTTAACCTAACTGAACCTTTTTTGCAAAATGGGGATGATCATCTTACAGGGGTAAAGGAGGAGGTCAAAGTCACTGGTGGAAACCCTTCGGCACCAAGGTGCAGAAACAGGGCACCCCTGGGAGGTCGGTCCCCAGCATCGGAGTCAGAGTTCCCACACTCCGGCCAGGACCCACTCGGTCCAGGTGGTTATCCATCAAGAACAAGCAGCAGAGCACTGAGGACCGTGCCTCAGAGGACACCTCGCAGAGCACCCAGGGAGCCGCCTGGAGGGGCAGCTGGGGAGGGGACCGGGGAGGGGAGCAGGGGAAGAACTTCTGGCCCCTGGATCGGAGCGTGGCCAAGTCCAGGGACGCGCACTCAGCACAGCCCACGTGGCCCTCGACCGCCCCCTTTCACCTGGACACCCAGCCTGTGGGCAGATCCCCGAGCGCCGCCCGCCTTCAGCAGTGTCCAGAACCCGATGGCTCTGGCTGGCTGCCCCATCTGCTGAGGTACCGCCGCTGGTAACCTGGGCTGTTTTCCACGCAGTGGCCAGAGGGGCCCCTCGAGAGGAGGTGGCTGATGCCTTCTCGGCTGCACTGTTGGCCCAGGGAGACCGAGTGCCCATCACCGAGCGCTCGGCTCCCTGCTGCCCGACCCCTCCTGCTCTGTGGCCCAATCCCCGAGCTCCCAACTAGCTCAGGGCGGCCACTCCCTTCCGGCCTGTAGGGCTCTTCCCTCCAGTGTGCACTTCAAGGTGTGGAGTGTTCTGGAATCTCTCCGAGGTCTGTGACAGAGTGGTGGTCACAGCAGGCTCACACGGGTGTGTGCAGGCTGGTGCTCCGTGGTAGGGCACTCGCCTGACACGTGGGGGCCCTGGGTTCCACCCCAGCACCAGACAACAAGGAGAGCCAGCCAGAGTGGCCACCACTGCGCTGGCACTGTGGGGAAGGGCCATGTGGCCAGGCAGCCGTGCCCACACCTGTCCCCGGCCACAGCTCTGAGCCCCGTGTTGCCCCCCAGGAACGCCTCGGCCTTCGAGTACCTGGAGGAGTTCCCCATGCAGATGCTGGCCCAGCTGGAGACGCTCACCGGGAGGCCGGCCAGGCACGGGCTCTTCGTGGTCAACATGGAGTACGGCAAGAACTTCTCTGGGCCCGACAAGGATGTCTTCTTTTATGACCGGTCGGTGGGGCACACCGAGGACGCCTGGCTGTCCAACTTCCTCCACCCTGTCATCTACTTCTACAGACGCCTCCCCACCGGTGAGCGGGCACTCGCCACAATTCATTCCTCCCAGCGCTCCTTCAGCTGACAGGGGACCCTCGGGGACTCTGCCCAGAGACCTGGCCGAGGCAGAAGGTCTGAGAAAATTGCCATTTCCAGATTCTAGCACACACTGTGACCTGCATAGGCCACGCTGGAGTGTCATGATCCACCAAGCCCCACACAGGAAGAGGGGCACTGTCATACCAGTGTCTCCAAAGGACAATGACCACAGTGGGTGAGGGGCTGTAGGTGGCATGTTAGAAGGAACAGGGCAAGGAACTGGAACTGACTAGCACAGGACCGAAAGAGCTGGGCCAAGTCTATCCTTTCATTGCTGTGTGACATTGGACTGCTACTGAACCTCTCTGAGCCTGGCTTGTCTGTAAAATGGGGATGACAGTAGTCCCCTCCTGGTAGGATTGCATGAGGACACATCTGACGACTCACCTGGAATGGCAGCAGCTCTGGCGCGGCTTAGCTCCAGTAAACAGGCAGCCTGGGGAACGTGGCTTATCCTTCCTAGCTCGAAGGGCTCCAGAGAAAGAGGGAGGCCAGCTAGGCCTGTTCCCCAGGGCAGGTGGTGCCAGCAGGGGGAGGAGCACTGAGAGTTAAAGCTGCCCGAGGCTGCGGCTGGCCTCTGGAGAAGGTGCCCGCACCGGGCTGGCCGGGCCTGGGCTCAGCAGGCTCCTCACCGGGGGTCCCCGGGTGGGAGGCTGGACCAGCGAGCCCTAGACCCTTTCATCGCGGGGCTCCGAGCCTCTCGGGGAAGGACGGCTGGGAAGGGGCCTCAGTCCAGGGAGGGGGCGGACACCAACCTTGAGCTGCGGGTCCTGGCGCTGCCCTCGGGGGCCACAGTGACGATCCAGTTCCTCCCGCTCTGTCAGCCCTCCTCCTGGAGCCAGCCCACAGCCCTCGCAGGCGTGGATGGGAGCGCGGGAGGTGGGGGACACTGCGTGGCCAGCCTGGCCCTGACCCCCGCCTCCTCCACAGAGCAGGAGGTGAGGTTCCGCCCCGCACAGTGGCCCCTGCCGCGGCCCACAGCCATCCACCACGTCGTGGAAGACTTCCTGACCGACTGGACCGCGCCCGTGGGACACATCCTGCCCCTGCGGCGCTTCCTGGAGAACTGTCTGGACACCGACCTGCGGAGCTTCTACGCAGGTGACGCAAAGGGACCAAGGTGGAGGTGCAGGGACCGCCAGGGAGACCAGGGGCCCAGAACTCCAGAGCCCGTGCCCATAGGGGGTGGGCAAGGTGTTCCCTGCAGCCCCCTCCCAGGACAGTGCTTCCCAAAATACAGCTAGACCGGCAGGGAAAGAAGGCAGCTCCCCAGAGCCCAGACTACAAAACACACCGACTGAGCGGGGCTGGGCCCCCAAGTATCACCGCACACAGTGGGGTGGGAGAGCCCTGTGTAGAGGCCCTCAGCCAAAGCTTGGATCTCGGGGTGAACAGGCAACAAACACTCCACGGAGGGAAAGAGGAGATTGTGGCTCAGTAGTTAAGTACCCCTGGGTTCAATCCCCGTACCAAAAAAAAAAAAAATATATATATATATATATATATATAATTTATATGTTATATAATTTACATGTATATATTTATTTTGTATATTTATATATTACAGAATTTACATATTATATATTTATATATTATAAAACACATACTTATATATAAATATGTATTTTTAACTGATAATCTGGACATATGTAGATGCACAAGGTTAATTCACAGAGCCAGAGTCAAACACCCTTGAAGAACTGGCAGTCTTGGAGTTCTCAGCTTTGATCAGACTCTGATTCCTGAAATTATATCAGAGGTTCGAGTCCTTGGCTCCAAATGCCTGTCGGTCTCCTGAGATTTCCAGACTCCACAAAAATGCCGTCTGTGTTAGTGGCACGTTCCCACCTTGACTGTGGGCCCCTCCAATAGGCCATGCCAGGCCATCGGGCTCCCACCTCCCTCTCTAGACAGTTCTGGACAGGGCAAGCCACTGAGCCACTGCCTTGAACTGGGAGGACTCCTCCTGGAGACGGCTAGCGGGCAGATGCGGCTCCTCTCTGCCCCGCGCCCCCAGCTGTCCAGCAGCTGCTAGCTCTGGCCTCCAGCTGCTGGGCGTCCGGGCCCACCACGCCTTGCAGAGGGGGTGACATCAGCAGAAGGTTGTGCTGGAGAGATAGCCACCTCACTGTCCTCTGTCCTCCCTGGCACCAGCTCTCTTCCCTGTTCAGAGAGGACTATCTACTTGTCCTGCCGGAGTCCCCTGGTAGAATTCAGAGAGTCAGAGGGACACCATGGGGCCCCTGTCAGCCTGTTTGCCCCAGGAGCCCCACAGTGTCCCCTGTTACATACCCCCTACGTGAGATGAGGGGGCCTGGGAGGTGGAAGGCTTCTCCGCAGCTGCAGGAGGTCTCGACCCTCCATGTCCCAGCCTGTCGCCAACTCCCCAGAAGACCCAGCCGACATCCACCTTATCTCTCCTGAGCTTTCAATCAGAGCAAGCCCCACTTCTCTTCAGGACACACGTTCCAAAACCCCCAGGGGATGCCTGAAACCATGGATAAAACCAAACCCTTGACCTGCAGTGCATGGTGTGGGCTCAGTCATGTCTGGGGCCTCGCTGAAGTCTTCACATAGGCTCGATGACTTTGGGTGCAAAATGTTGATGTCAGTTGGAACAAGTTTCCTGCTCATGTCACCCACCCGCTTGTGTCATGCCCTTCCATCCTAGCACGCACAAGGCACTGTGGCATGACTTTTGAAGCTTGTAGTCAACAGAATCACCAGCATGAATTTCTTTCCCATCACAATTTCACAGATAGAAAATGTGTTCCTATCATAGATTTTAGCAACCACGGCATGTGATTTTTTTTTTGTCTTATTAAGTCTAGAACAGTCATCTTTTCACTGAAAAGAAGTATTTTACAGCTTCTTTTCAGCACATCCAAATTGCTACCATGATTATTCTCATGTTTGGGAGGCATTATCAAGTAAGGGTTACCTAAACACCAGCACTGAGATACTGCCACTGTCATCTGATAATCACAATAACTAAGTAAGTAACAGGCAGGTAGTATATACCATGTGTATACACTGGTCAAAGGCAGGATTTCCATCCTAGGCAGGACAGAATATTTTATCTTTTTTGTCCCCACAGTGTTTAGACAGAACTTCGCATGCAGTATTTGCAACTCAAATACTGTTGCAGGAGGCTTCAGCTCGCAATTCCACTGAATTCCCACCACATCCAAGCAAGTCTCCAGAAGAGAAGGCTGAGGGTGTGCTCAAGGGGAATGAGCTCCTGCCCTAGTTGTCGATGGACCTTTATTTTTTTTATTGATACATGGTGCTGAGAATCAAACCCAGTGCCTCACACAAGCTAGGCAAGTGCTCTACCACTGAGCCACATCCCCAGCCCCCCAGTCATTTCTGTGGTTGGCTTTGACCTTGGAGCCTTGTTCTCCCAAAAGGTCAAGGCAGCCTCCTGTTTTCGTATCCTCATGGAAAGTCATGATCCATGACTACCCAGGTTGTGTGTGAGGCACCCAGAAAGGTCAGACAGCAGTTTCAAGGGATGCAAGGTCCTGAGCGAGCCCCACTGTGGTGCCCCGGCCCCCCAGCTTTCCCTTCCTGCACCTCTCCTCACCCTCCAGCCTGACTCCCAGCCCGACTCCTCCTCCTTCTGCTTTCGTGCAGAGTCCTGTTTCCTGTTCACCCTGACGCGCCAGAAGCTGCCCCCGTTTTGCCAGCAGGGGTACCTGAGAATGCAGGGGCTCATGGGCACCGAGAGCCTGCGGCGGCATGGCGTGGAGAGTGGGCTCCTGCAGGACTATGCCACCATGGACGAGCCCCTGGAGGACAGCAGCCAGCAGCCTGGGGAACACGGGCCAGAAGGTCACCGCCTGTCTCGGGGGCCTCCACACCCGTCCCTTGACAGCAACAAGGAGGAGCTCTGACAGTCCTCCTGGGCTGTGGGCACCGCGGCCAGGCCTCCCCACAGGCCACGGTCAGCCCTCTCTCCCCGCAGTCCCCTCCACTGATGCATGACGGCCCAAGGCCACTCAGGCCTTGCCAGGTTGACACCAGAGCCACCCGCAGAGCCAGCAGCAGTGGGGCTGCTGCAGCACCACGGTCCCCCTGGCCTGGTCCCTGGTGCCCAGGAAGCGGGGTGAGGAGAAGGGCATCCTCTGCTGGTGTGAGCTGCCTTCTAACGCCGAGCTCTTCCAGCTGGACCGTCACTGAGTGCCAGGCTGGCCCACTCTGTCCCCTTCAAGGGCCCACCTGCTCCTTTCCCTTCACTCTTGTGACAGGTCCAGAGCCCACCTGGGACCCTTCATGGTGAAACCCACCCTCGTTGTCATCAGCGTTTCTGGAGGCACTTATCTTCAGGCGCCCTGAGGGTTTGCATGGCGGAGAGAAGTCCCTGCAAGGCCACCTGGTGCTGAGCTGTGGCTCTCCCAGGGTCAGGGTCATGCCCCAGCCGCTCTGCATCCTGTGTCCTGATCCCCACCCCTCCCCTGGCCTCTGGCGTCCTGAAGCACACCTTGCTTGGACCCGCCCCTGCCCAGTATAGTGAAGCTGTTTTGCACCTGTCACATGCACCAGGGGACATGAGCAGATGCCCCTGGGTGGCAGCAATGGTGAGTCATTCCTGGTTCCCTTAACTCTGCAGCTGCTCTTGTCCCTCGTCACTGGGTGCCCTTCGGGGGTTTCTCTCGTTCCTGAGGCAAGGCCTGCGCCTGAGCCTGGTGGTCACTTTCTCAGGGCTGCTCACGAGTTCTTCATGCGGCCATTGAAAATTCCAAAGCCCCTTCCTGGGCTCCCCCTCTTCCCCTCCTGGCTAGTTCCAAAGCCCCTTAGCCACTGTCCTAGCTGTATGCTCAGTCACCTCCTGTCCCTGGCAGAGTTCCAACACTGCAAGTCCCACACTTCGCCCACAGCAGGGTGACTGTCACCCCCATGATCCTACCTGGGACAGTTTGCACAGCACTGAAGCTCGCGAATTAAGGGTTTTTCCTGAATCCCAGGTGTGGTGTTCACTGAATTTCACACAGATCTGAGGCAAGCCCACGTAGGACCCTGTGGTCCCCCCTGCCTTTTCCAAGTCATGCTTTAAATGAGTCTTTTAAATGGGGCTGTGCCCAGTGTCCAATCCTGTTCCCGAAGCCCTGGGGCTAGCTGAGCCACTTGTTCAATAACAGTTTGAGGTGCCGTAACAAGTGGTTGGCGACGCCTCGACATGTGACATCTGTTGCTGCCTTCATCTGCCAAGTCAATCATCCCACCAAAATATCAGCCAGCCTTATTTGCTTTTAAGAAGGCAGGATTCCATTCTTGCTCAGTTGATTGGCGATGTCTTCTCTGGTTTTCTTGATTTTAATGAAGATCACTGTGGCATTTGCCGAATCCCCCAGCTGACGGTCACAGCGGTCCCTGCCCCTTCCCTTGGCCTGCCTCTGGTGCCTGTGGCCTCGGGGTGCCATGTGCAGGTGGCTGCTGCCTTCCTGTGGTGTTAGAGAACATTTTCTTTTTTCTTCTGTTTCTGTCTTGGTTTCTGGTACTGGGGGTGAACCCTGGCCTGGAGTAGGTGAGCACACACCCCACCACCCAGTTCCCCACCCCCGGGCCCAGGTGGGTTTCTAACATTGCCCTGGCTCTGCGAATGGACGTCTTCTATGAGCTTGAGTGTAAGGACAGCGAGTGCTGTCACCCTCCAGCACGGCCAGCTCCCTGGGTGTGGATGAAATGGATTCACATTTCCACTTTTATACCTCGATTCATTTTTTTGGCAAGTCTGAGCAGCACAGGAGTAGAGCTTCTGCAGCTGGACCAAGTTCCTCTTTTAACTGAGGCCTGACTTCAATAATTCCTCCTTTTTTTAATATAAAGTTATTGGTGCAAAACAGATGAGCCAGTGAAACAATCTAGCATACGTAAATGTTTTCGATAAGAGGTGATTTTAAAAGGAACCCTGCCATACGCAGGGCACACCTGTAATCCCAGAGGCTCGGGAGGTTGAGACAGAAAGACCTCAAGTTTGAGGCCAGCCTCAGCACCTAATGAGGACCTGTCTCAAGGACTGAGGATGTGGCTCAGTGGTTGAGCATCCCTGGATTCAATCCCTGGTGCCATAAATAAATTTAAAAACAGAAAGGGCTGGGGATGTAGCTCAGTGGTCAGGTGCATCTGGATTCAGTACCTATTAATTAAAGAAAGGGAATCAGTGCTGGAGATGTGGAGGGTTTTCCCAGCAGGCACAAGGCCCTCGTTCCATTCCCCCTCAAGGAAAAAAAAAATCACAAATCAATGAAAAGGATCGTGCAGGACCATGCCATGAATAATTTTAGCCCAACTGGTTTGTAGTTTCTGGGGAGTTTTGTTTTAGACCCCTCTGTCACACTGAACTACAAATTAATTCCAGATGAACCTTTGAAGCCATATAAAAACTCAGGTTGAGGACTTTTCCAGTTCAGAAGTAGGAGAAATGAATTTCCAGAGAAAGAGGTTTAACACTCCCAGGACCCGCCGCCAGCCCCTGCTGGTTAATGTGATTAAAGAAAATGGTAAAAAGGCAAAATAGTACGGGCAAAAATAATCACACTGGAATAAACACATTAAAATCAACGTATTTATTACACAAGAATGGTGGACAGCGGGAGAAACGTGAAGCCAGGTGGACTCTTACTGGCTCCTGAAATGTGGAAAGACTGCGGAGCCCAGAGCACGCGTCACACAGTTAAGTGAAAAGAAGCAGGAGGTGAAGTCGCTTTGGCCACCCGCCTGTAACTGAGTAAAGCAGGATGGCTCCGCCCAGGGGCCTGGGGACAGAGCGTCCCCAAGGACAGCCATGTTACCTCTGGGTTTGAAGACGTAGGTGGGGTTCGGGCTTGTTTCCTTTCTCTGCTTTGTTCAAATTTGTGATTATGATCATAGTGAAATAAATTAATTTTTGAAAAAGAATCTCTGGCTTTTTGAAATTTAGAATTGCCAGGGATGAGCAGACACGGAGCCCTTCCCAGAGGACATGTTCCCTTCTTGGCCCGGTGGTGCCAGGGGCAGTGTCCTCTAGCAGGAGCTACTACTTCCTCCCTGGTGGGGAAGAGACCGCAGCAGGTGCCAGGGCGAAACATGCTCCGCCAAAGAAGCGAACTGTAAGTGCCGGGCAGGGGACACTGGGCTGACTCGGCACAACCAAGGTCCTAAAAGACAGAGAATGAAAAATAAAAGTCTTCCCTCTGTGGGGACCTCCTGGTTTAGTCTCCAGTGTATTGTAGAACCCCGAATTCCTTTTGCCTCTAGGATGTGGTGGTGCATACCTGTAATCCCAGCAACTCGGGAGGCTGAGGCAAGAGGCCAGCCTCAGCAAATTAGCAAAACCCTGTCTCAAAATAAAAAACTGTAGTAATAAATAGGGCCGGGGGGCTGGGGCTCAGAGGTTGAGTGCTCGCCTAGCATGCGTGAGGCACTGGGTTTGATCCTTAGCACCACATAAAAATAAAGGTATGTGTTCTCCTACAACTAAAAAATAAAAGTCTTGGGGCTAGGGTTGTGGCTCAGTGGCAGAGCGCTTGCCTCACAAATGTGAGGCACTGGGTTCGATCCTTAGCACCACATAAAAATAAATAAACAAAATATATTGTGCCCATGAATAACTAAAAAAAATTTTTTTAAAAGTCTTCAAAAAAATTTTTTTAAAGGGCTAGGGGTGCAGCTCAGTGGTAGAGCACCCCCGGGTCTAGTTTCCAGCACCCAAAATAAAGAAAATGATAAAAAGGGACCTGCAGCCCTGAGCCAGGACCACTCAGCCAAGCCACTCCCAGATACAGAGCTACAGGGACTTTGAGAAATCAATGTTTGCTGTTCACGTGTTAAATGGGGTCATGTGTTACTTACTCAGCAATAACTATTCCATGCACTGAATAATTAGACTCGCCACAACTACATGAGGAAGACAGAACTCTCCCATCCTACAGATGAGGAAACCAGGCCAGAATGGTTGCACAGAGGACAGTGGTGGGTCCACAGAAAATGCACCATCTTCCAGTCAGGGGCCATCCACTTACTGACGGCAGCCTGCTCCTCGTCACCCTCTGATGGGTCCTTCCTGTGGACACTGGGTGACAAAAAGTTAAGAGATCAATTCTCAAACCCAGGAACATATGTGGTTCCCACAAGAGCACAGAGAAGTTATCAAAATGAAATGCTGATTATACAACAGGTGCCTCCCTCAGAAGGAGAATCAGGTGGGGTGCAGCTTAGCATGCATGAGGCCCTGGGTTCCCTCCCCAGCACCAAACAACAGCAAGGAGAGAGAATTCATCTACTCTGTCAACCCAGAGATCCCGACAGAAGCAGGGTGGGATGACCTGGGGTGGGAGCAGGGAGGGATGACCTGGGGTGGGAGGGGAGCCCTGGAGTCTGGGTGTTGGCCTCAGCACTGTCCGCTCTGCAGCCAGCTCCATCAGCCCCAAATTGGATCCTTCCCTCAAAAATCAGCCATGACAGCATCATTTCACCACAGATGCTTATTTTTTAAATATGGTGAAAGTGCTGACTGGATAAAGATTTTTGTCAGACTGCAGACTTTAAAAAAGCATTTAATTCAATCTGGCATCCCAGACGGAATATAAATCTGCTACAAAGTGAAGTTGATGGGCAAATGTGAGATGCTCCAGCCCAAGTATTTTGTCCAAATGCATCACACAACCAATCCACGGAGCCCGAAATAAAAAATAGCACGAACAGATGTACCTAAGCAGAGAAGAAAGGGACAGCAGGCTCTCCCGTCTCGCTCCTGTCTCCATTCTGCATCAACAAGCCTGAGACGCCAACTCTTCTGGAGAAGCCCCAAGCTTGGTGCTCACTGCACAATCTTCCAAGTATCATGGGCTTTCTCAGCCTATTGAAGATGTTACCATCTCAGACCCAGTCTCTCAAATTGTCCAAATCATCAAAAAATAACTGGGTGCAGGAGAGCCCCACTATAAGAAAAAGACGACAAAGATGTATCTAAATATTCAGTGTGGGGCTGGGGACACAGCCCAGTTGGTAGAGTGCTTGCCTCACATGCACAAGGCCCTGGGTTCAATTCTAGCACCCTGGGGGGGGGGGAAACAAAACATTCAGTGTGTTGTAATCTCTCAATGTTGTATAGAAATAAAACAATGGCAGCTAGGTGCAGTGAAGCTTGTAATCCCAGCAACTCGGGAAGCTGAGGCAGGAGGACTTCAAGTTTGAGGCCACCAGCCTCAGCAACTTATGGAGACCCTCAGCAATTTAGCAAGACCCAGTTCTCAACATAAAAAAATAAAAAGGGAAATATGATATATCAAGAACTATGTAATGTTTTGAATAACCAACAATAAAAATTTTAAAAAAATAAAAAATAAAAAGGGCTGGGAATGTAACTCAGTGATAAAGCACCCCTGGGTTTAATACCCAATACCAAAAAAAAAAAAAATGACTACATTATGGATCAAAGGACATTAGGCAGGAGAGGACACTCCTCTTACTGTAAACTCAAATCTTGTCTTTTTGCAGGTGGGAGTGATAACCAGGTGCAGTGGTACATATCCATAATCCTGGCCACTCAGGAGGCCAAGACAGGAAGATCACAAGTTAGAGGCCAGCCTGGGCAACTCAGCAAGACTTTATCTCAAAACTTCAAAAATGCTGGGGGTGTAGCTCAGTTGCATAGTTCTTGCCTAGAGTATGTGAGACCCTGGGTTTGATCCCCAAAAGAAAAAGATATGTACGTGATGATCTCCTTACACCAGATGGATTTAAGTTCAAACAAATCTGTTGGGAAAAGAAGAGGTGCCCAGAAGTGCCCGCTATGAGGCACTCTGGTAGATTAAAGACAGCCCAAAAATCAGCTCTCAAGATGTGCGGTCTCCATCTCCTTCCCTGGGACCAGGGTTGGCTCTGGGATTGTTTGGACCAAAAGAAAAAGGCAAAGTGTGGCTGTGCCATTTTCTGGGTACAGGCTGGAACAGATTGGCAGATCCTGCCACCTGTCATGGAACCCAGCCACCGTGCCGGGAGGAAGGCCTGTGGAGAGACTCTGGAGAGCAGAACCAAAGCCCCTGGCAGAGCTGCCTGCACCAGCCAGAAAGTGAGCCATCTTGGAAAGAGGACCCCCAGCCCCCAACCCCCCTCATCAACTTCACACAGAGCAGAGATGGGCTGTAATGACCCAGCCCTGCCCCAATTCCAGACGCATGGGCTACATAAATGATTGCTGCTGTTCCAAGCCACCTTGTTGGGGGGCTTGATCACACCCCATAGACCTCAGAACAGATTAGAGCTAACAAGGACATGCAGAACACAAAGGTGGCTGCAGGGAAGGGAAGTTTGTAAAAGCAGATATAACATCCGTGTTAGCAACTGTTAATAATGACATGCATTCCAAAGAAAATGGCAAAGCACACCTGTGAAGGCACACTGAGGGCCACCGATAGTGTCGCATTGTTAATGTACCTACACGGAGAAAAACAATTAAAAGAAAAGCAAGAGGAAAAGACGCGTGTGCAGGTAAAAGGAGGAGCGGGCTGGACTCAGCTCATGCCGTGGTCACCTGAAATTAAGAGTAAATCCCAGGTGGCCTAGCTACACACACACATGAGCAGCGAGAGGAACAGGGACCTCACGGAGATCAGCACCCTGCACCTAAGAGGGATTCCCACGCAGGTGAAACTGAGCTGCTCAGCACACGTTCGTGGATCAGAGGACACCAGGAGAGAGAGGACACTCCTCTTTTTTTTTATTGTAAACTCAAATCTTGTCTCCTTGTGGCTGGCAGGAGTCATCTTGCCCACTGCATAGGATGATGCCAACATGCCGAGGAAATAAAGCAAGGCACAGAAAGTCCCTCCGAGCTCTGCCACAGGATTGGAGCCACTAACCCGGCAAGGCTATGCTAACAAAAGCCAGTTGTGTGAGCTAGGAAGCCCCTTCTCCTGGGCTGGGCTGAGTTTGTCCTGACACATAACAAGGTGCTTTCCTCCTGCACAGCGTGAACTCAAGCTGCCTCTCACTTCTCTCTCTCTCTCTCTCTCTCTCTCTCTCTTGCACACATACACGCACGCAAGCACCCATTCAACAAACATTTGCTGATTGCCAACTATGTTCAGGCACAGGGCTAGGCCCACATCAGTGGGCGACAGAGCTCCCACTCACAAGAGGCTGAAAGTAACAGTGAACTGTCATGCCGGCATCCGGAGGCTGTCGGAGAGAAGAGAAGAATCATGGGCTGGGGTTGTGGCTCAAGTGGTACAGCGCTTGCCTAGCACCTGCAAGGCACTGGGTTCGATCCTCAGCACCACATAAAAATAAAATAAAGATATTTTGTCCACTGAAAACTAAAAGAATCAGAATCCTTTCCCTCATGGAGCTTCTAGTCCAGTAAATGAGACAACATTAAACAAGCAGTAAGCCAGGTTCAGTGGCAAACACCTGTAATCCCAGTGGCTCTGCAGGCTGAGGCAAGAGGATCACAAATTCAAGGTCAGCCTCAGCAACTTAGCAAGACCCTAAGCAACTTAGCAAGACCTTGTCTCTAAATAAAAATATAAAAAAGGCTGGGGATGCAGCTCAGTGGTTGGGCACCCCTGGGTTCAATCCCTGTACAAAAAAAAAAAAAAAAAAACAAGAAGCAGTAAGTCCTCAGGAAGAAGGAGGCGCAGGGTGCTGAGGGATGGCAGAGTTGCCATGCCCTGGTTCCCCCTACATGCCACAGTTCCTGGGTTTTATAATGTGTCTTTTACTGTACTTTTTCCATCTCTGAAAAGACGCCTCTTAGCAGCACAATCATCCGGGCGGCCATGATGATGGAGTTCTGCTCCTAGAGGCACAGGGTCAGCTGAAGCCGTGATGTCCCCATCAATAAACCATCAAGGGTCCTGTGGGAATGAACAGGACTCCTGGTCACTGCTAAGAACTGTCTGCTGGCACTTTGGGTAAGATGAAGAAAAACTCCAGCGTCAAAACTTTCAAAAGAGGTGTCAGTAACCTAAAAACAATTGGGACCAGTAATGGAACATCCTTTAAAAGAATATTACAGGGGCTGGGATTGTGGCTCAGTGGCAGAGCGCTTGCCCCACATGTATGAGGAACTGGTTTCGAACCTGAGCTCCACATAAAAATTAATAAATAAAGGTGTCCATCTACAACTGAAAAAATAAAGAATCTTACATCACTGGCACTCTTGAAGGACAGCATGATGGGTATTATTTTGTTGGGGGAAAAACATGGACACTGGTATCCATGAATCAAAAAATGATTCTGAACAGTTGGATTCTCAATGAGTGACATTTGCAAATATCTTATCAAGCTTAACTTTGAGCAGAGCGCAGGGGCACACACCTGTAATCCCAGTGGCTTAGGAGGCTGAGGCAGGGGGATCTTAGCAACTTAGCAAGGCCCTAAGCAACTCAGCAAGACCTTGTCTCTAAATATAAAAAAAGGACTGGGGATGTGGCTCAGTGTTTAAGCTCCCCTAGTACTGAAACAAAAACAAACAAAAAAACTTAACTTTGATTTCATTTCCTGTATATGCATAAGGCATATAGATTGTTTCTCTAAATAAACCAAAAAAGAACTTGTTCAAAAAGCATAAAATTAAAATTATAAATAAGTTGTCTCCTAATGTAATAATTATTTCTTATTATTTTATTATTCAGGGTTCAGTAAGAAAATACATTTCAAATTAGTGAACTTAATACAGGGAAACTTGCTATCCAAGTATTACAGAACGAGAGGGCAAAGGGGAGCCGAGGCGACTCATAGCGACAGACGCCAAGGGCCCGGGGACCCAAGGGACGACACAGGGGCTATTGAGAACCTCAGTGTTTGGAGAGGGTCCTGAGTGGGTAGGAGCCAGACCTGGGTCGGGGCCATGGCTGGGCTGGGCTGGCACCTCCCGAGGGCTGGAACGAACCTGCTCTTTGGGCTCGCTGCCTGCGAGGGCCCACGGCTCCTGACAGGGATGAGAGCAGGAAGCACAGCGGAGACAAGGTCCCTTCGCCGCCCGCCCTCCAGGCTCCTGTAAATGGCCACTGTTAGCAGCTCCTCGCAGAGAACAGGCAGGCAAGGCCGGTGGCCCACAGACCCTGTCCCTGTCAGCACAACACAGAATACGGAACAGTGACCTGGAGGCGAGGAACAGCAGCTCAATAACTACACAGCAGGGTGTTATATTATTTTATATTATATTATTAATAATATATGAAATAATGGGGCAATTTACACTTTCTCACTTCCTTCCTCCCCTCCTCACTCTTTACCTCCTTCCTCCTTCTTTCCTTTCTGTTTTAAGAGGCAGGTTCCCACTATGTCACCCAGGCTGGCCTCCAACTCCTGGGCTCATGTGATGCTCTTGCCTTAGCCTCCTGAGTAGCTGGAACTACAGACGTTTGCCACTGTCAACCTGGTTCAATTTGTACTTAAAGATACTTTGGTCTTGTGAAATAAGATAGCAACATATTAATATGGCTACTATTACCAGAGCCGAGCTAACAGCGGCTCCTACAAGATCTCAGCAGAGTCTTCCGCACATCTGGGCATGAGCAGTCTGGAGAGGGCAGGGTGGACCCACAGTGTCACACACTCAAATTCCTAGATTATTGCTCTACCACAACCTTGTGGTCCAAAGTAGTTGCCAACACATCCACATTCCAGCCAGGAGAAAGGGGATGTTGTGCTTCATTCTTTTAAATCAGAGGCTGGCCAACTACTGCCAAATCCGTCCTCTGCCTGTGCCAGGAGTTTCAGTGGAATGGAGTCACAGCTGGTCATTCACACATTGTTTGCTTTTGCATTATAAGAGCAGATTGAGCAGTAACAACAGAGACTGTATAGCCTGTGAGCCCAACACATTTACCACCTGGCCTTTCTAGAAAAGGTTTGTTGACACTATTGTTTTTTTTCCCTCAGTACTGGGGATTGAGCCCAGGGACACTCTACCACTGAGCTGGTCGGCACTTTTATTTTGAGACAGGGTCTTGCCAAGATGCTGAGCATGGCCTCAAACTTGTAATCCTCCTGCCTCAGCCTCCTGAGTC